TGGGCAGCTTTCCAGCCGCTCTGCCCCACGCCTGTAGCGCTGCATGGGGCTGTTGTGACCCAAGTACAGGACCCAGCCCGTGGCCTTATTGAACCTCACACAATTGGCCTTGACCCATGGATCCAGCCTATGCAGGTCTCTCTGTAGAGCTTTCTTACCCTCCAGCAGATCAACATTCCCACCCAACTTGGTGTCATCTGGAAACTGACTGAGGGTGCCCTCGATCCCCTTGTACAGATCGTGGATAAAGATGTTAAACAGAACTGGCCCCAGCACTGAGCCCTGGGGGACACCACTTGTGACTGGCTGCCAACTGGATTTAACTCGATCCACCACAACTCTTTGGGCCTGGTCATCCAGCGGTTTTTTTACTCAGCGAAAGTACACCCATCCAAGCCATGAGCAGCCAGTTTCTTCAGGAGAATGCTGTGGGAAATGGTATCAAAGGCTTTACTAAAGTCCAGGTAGACAACATCCACAGCCCTTCCCTCATCCACTAAGCAGGTCACCTTGTCATAGAAGGAGATCAGGTTACTCAAACAGGATTTGCCCTTCATAAACCTGTGTTGACTGGGCCTGGTTTTTCTGGATGTGTTGTGTGATGGTGCTGAAGAAGATCTGCTCCGTAACCTTTCCCGGCACCGAGGTCAGCCTGACAGGCCTGTAGTTCCCCGGATTCTCCTTCCGGCCCTTCTTGTAGATGAGCGTCACATTTGCCAACCTCCAGTCAACTGGGACCTCCCCGGTGAGCCAGGACTGCTGATCAGTCATGCAAAGTGGCTTGGTGAGCACTTCCACCAGCTCCCTCAGCACCCTTGGGTGGATCCCATCCAGCCCCATGGACTTGCGTGTGTCTAAGTGGCGTAGAAGGTCGCTAGCCGTTTCCCCTCGGATTATGGGCCCTTAAGGCACATTTCAGTGTTTTACCGTTGTGCTTAACAGTTTTAGCAGTTAGCCCTAAATGCATCCTTAGTAGTAATCTGTTAATCATCTTTTTGTACCTTAAAGTTGTGCTTTACACTGTGAGTAAATTGACTTATTGGAGTAAATCACTACATCATGCAAATGAGTAGCAGAGTCTGGTCTTCTTTCAAATCAATTACAAACAAGGCTTAATGGCTTGGGTAGCGGCTGTCTGTGCTACAGGGGAAAATTCCCCGTACGGTGTAAGTTTAGACTAGTGTACACCCAGCGGTTGTCTAATGGAAAAGAGCTTTTCATATGAGAAACTGATCTTCCTCTTTCCATTTTCTTTTGGTGGATTTAACTGAAGACTTTTAAAAACAGATAATTAAATATGAACCTAGCAATTGAATCCTTTGAATTACCTCAGTGCGTAGTTACTGGTTGCTTTTTTGAACTGCTAGGGAAAGGATGCTTGGTAAGGGTGAAGGGACCCTGCAGGGATGCTGCTGGTGCTGTTTGATGTTGGGGTGGCTGGAAGTCAGTGTTCAGGAGTAAAGAGAAGGAAGGCTTTATCTTCCAAGCATCCTACCAAAAGTAATGAGTCCCAAGAAGCTGCTCAGACCTTGGAGATACTGATGGGAGAGAAGGGGAAGTCTGGCAAGTGTCCAAGCAACTGGATGAGGGCCTGAGCTGCCTTATGAAAGCAGGGTGGTGGCGTGGGATCACGACCTCAGTGCGGAGGGAATGCAGAGGGGTCAAGCAGGGGTGGTGAAAACCCTGGCGAATTAGCTCTGGGTGTTCCAGCTGGGTGCACTGACGGGGTGGTGACAACAGCTATTTCCAAATCTGTTGGGCTGTCTGCTTGGTCAGAGTCCCCTTCATGACATTTTGCAATAAATGGGACCAGGTAGAGCCTGTTCGTACCTTGCCATGCATTCAGCATTCTTGATTAAATCAGTTTAATTGCTGAAATTAGAAAGGCTCTGCAGACCTTTCCTTCCATCTTACAGCCTAATGTAACGAACATAGTTTGCATCATGGTTTTGACATGAGAACTTTTTATTTCCGTGATCCTGCAGACTGAAGATTTTGAATGTGATATTCAACAGCTCATTTGGATTCAAGCACATCAGTATTTACCTGTGTCTCTGCCCATGGGGGTGCTGTCTGGTGCCGCAGCTCTCTGTCCGGGAGTGGGTTAGCCTCCAAGCTAGCTCAGCTGCCTCAGCACAAGCTGTGATCGCAGCAGTAGCTGCTGCAGTTTGGACAGCCTGAACTTGATTATAGAGAAGTTTCCCAGAGATGCTATAATTACCTTGAGATTATGGGAGGTTACGTCCCATCGATTATCGTGCCATTGGAGTTGATTATTTGCTGTGCATGGCCTTGTCTTTCAACTGCGTGTTTGAAGTTACTGAACAGATAGTACCAAAGTTGTGCCTGATGAGCCTGTGGGAGGGAGGCGTGGTCCATTCCAGGCTCTACTCTTCCAGTCTGTCTATACTGAGCTATTGGAGCCATTTGCTCTTGCGTAAAATAACACGTCTTGTGCTGTATGGGTCTAATTTTAAACTTATGTTTATTTGCAGAATAACACAACTTGGAAGCCAGATTCTTGCCAAGACTGCCGTTGCCGTAGCAATATTGTCACCTGTGAACCTACTGTCTGCAAACACCCTCAGTGTGACTTTCAGAAGGTAAGGGGCTGCAACCGTCCAAATGCCAGCTGACCCATTCCGCGTGGCGGGAGAAATGTCAGATCACTTTGGAGGTGCCAACTTTCCCGTGCTTTAACCCCCTGCAATAGTTACACGTCAAAACGTTTGTTTGGGTCCTCCACACTGTGTTACATGTAAAGGAACGGTGGAAGCAGCTGGGATAATTGGTCCTGCATTCCCTGTGGAAGCAAAGCTCCTCTTGTATTGAGGGACACAGAAGGAGGATGCAGCATGGAGGAACTGGCGGAGGTGAGCTGGTTGCTTGTCTTTGTACCCCACGGTGGCAGCTGCCGTATCAACTTTCTGGGCTCAGCTGCCTCCCCACAGCTCCCTTTGAACCCAAGGGTCTGATTCACAGCAGGATTTGGGGGAAGCAAGAGGGAGCAGTGAAACCCCGTTTCGCCTCCTAGGGTGCGTGTGGCTGCCCAGGGTCAGGCACAGTCTCCGTGCCCTTTCGCTTCTCATCGCTGTAAGCCTGTGCAAGAAACACACAGACAAAACCCAGCAGGGGCAGCCTTTGTCTCCTTCGCCACGCTACAGCCAGAGGCTTGGTGTTGGAACAGCTTGCAGACTGCCTGTGCTCCAAGGGCGGTCTGGTCCGCAAAGGAAGCCCGTGAACTGGGTTTGGACCTCCCAGCACGAGCCCAGCTTCCAGTCACCCTTCATTTGAACATGGAGCTGCGTCTGCCTCAAACATGCAGATGGACGCTTTCCACTTTGATGAACAACAACAGAGCTGAGATTGTCTGTCTTTCAGTTTCTTCTGCCCTGCGATGGTTGTTGAGCTTTCGTTGTCTCCTGTTTATCTTTCTCTGTCTGAGCCTTCATTAATGGTTACAGCTAATTGGCCATGGAATTGGTCTTGCATTAGCATCTGGATTACTGGGGTAGTACGCATGAATGACAGTGAAAATTAGTGTTTTGAAGGGGCACTGCCAATGTAATTATATGGCTTTATGAAGCAGGTTAAAATGTTTTCCAATATGACAGCATTAACGAGGAAATAATTTTGATTCTTACTGCTTTTCCCCGTTATTATCACTGTGTATTGATTAACTGAAATATTGGGAATTTTTGTGCTAAAGAGGGAAAAAAAAAGACTGCTGTCATGGCACACGTAACAGTGAGTGGGCTAGATGAGATGTTGTTGTTCATTTTAAAAAATTGGGTAAATGAAAAGGTGGCAAGTTTAAAGCTCATAAAGGGAGATAGATTTATAGTGCAAAATGAATCTGTGCAACTCCTTGACATGGGTCATCTTCAAGATGATGAGTTTAAGTGTTTCATAAAGGTCTGGCCATTTAAATGTTGAAAAGGATCATCAAGGGTCTTAGAAGAAAAAAATCCCATCATCTTTCAAGCATAAAAAACCCACGGATGAACAAGGTCAGAAATCGCCATCCCTCTCCATGATTTATTTCTTACCTCCTTATTATGAGATTTATGCTAATGTTGCTGATCTTGTTTACAGCGACAAGGCATAAACAAAACCAGCAGTCTTTGCAAAAAGCATACCCAGTGGTGTGCTAAACATTTGTATGTAAAACCTACTGCTGTGCACGCCGAATGGTTTGAGTAGGTAGAAAATCAGCAAGCATTATTTCTGTTGCGTGAACCAAAAGAAACCAGAAACCAAGACCAGTTTCTCTACAGCAGGACCAGAGTTAAATAGGGTTTAATGGGTTAAGCTAAATGAAATATTTAGTTTTGTTTCCCACCTCCTGAAAACCATGGCATTGAAGGAAACCTCCAAGTGAGAACCTTTCTTCGGTTTGAAAAATCAAAATGTTTCTTTTAGAAAACAGAGAAAGAAAACCTGCTTTTATCATACAAGTAAAGAGGGGAAAGGTAAGACAATTTTTTGGCATTGCAGTGTCTTAATTTTTTATTATAACAAAACAAATTAACGACTCCCTTCTGAGCATGAATCCTTCAGACGTTGGCCGTACCCTTTCAAAGCGGAAAGGATTGGGTAGGTCTCCTGAGAAACACCTTTGCAGTATTTTGAAGAAGGTGACCTTGTGGATAAAATTTTTCTACGTTTCACTTCCTGAACCTGACATGTTCTTCTCTGGTTTTGGTTTTCTGTTTCCTCCCTCTCCAGCTACCATGCTCACAGCAGTAAAATTATTTGATCCTTTTGTTGGGAGGAAAATGCTGAGATCTGTGGTACTGCAGGTGGTGCCAGGGGCCCTCGCGTGCAGTTGCCATCAGTGACAGACACCCTTGCAAAAATAAGATCCTCCAGCAGCTGATGCTGTCCTATTTTGGGGCACTGTGCCAGGCTTGGGGTGTTTAACGTACAGCTGGTGGGAACATGAAAGCATCGCTTTGGAGAGTCCGCGGAGATGTTTTCAATGACAGGAGTCCATGATCCTCCCCAGTGTTGGCTGATCTCTTTACTGATGTGTTTTGCCCTTCGTCTAATGAGATGCTGCCATCAGCGTCATCTTTTTCCCTGATGCCGAACAGGACGTAGCACGGGGCCGGCTTGCTAAGCTCCTGGAACATGCAAAGCAAAGTGGTAGTAGCACCACCTGACTGCGCTGCGGTTGGAAGTGATCCATAGTTTTCAGTTCATTTTAAAGTAGTGTATTCAAAAAAAAAAGAAAAAGGTGGTGATTATTAAGCCAAAGAAGTACAGTTAATGGATGCACATTGATTCTGCCTGCCAGCTGCACTTCTGGTGTGGTGAAATGTTAGGCTGAGATCCATCCTGTACACGTAGAACACTTACCTGTTGAAAAAATTACATCTATACCACGTTTCTTGGAGGTCCTTCTGTGAGTAATCTTGGGTTTTGTCTTGAGTAAGTGCTTTCTAGGCTTTGTTCTGGTTTGAAAACTGGTTCAGCTGGGGAATTCCTAATTGTACTGTTAGGGGTGTACATTCTCCTACTGTTGTGTTGATGATAAAATGTCAGATACAGCAAACTGCTGTGCCACCTCTCAACAAAGGGATCTGGTGCAGCAGCGTTATGTATTTCACTTAATACGTTTCCTCTCTAATGTGAGAGCGCTGGGTCCAGCAAGGCCCCATGTCTTTACCTTCATGTTGAAGTCTCTATTTCATGTGAACTGCTTACTGGATTCTTACATCTTTTTAGGGAGAAGTGCTCCAAATAGCCCCCAACAAGTGCTGCCCTGAGTGTGTGTCCCGAGCTGAAGGATTTTGCCAGCATGAAGGACAGATCCACAGCGTGAGTGCTTTGTCATGCTCCTCAGCAGTGGCAATCCTTTCCATTTTTTAGCTCTCTCGTTTGGCTCACGTCAGTGAAGGATGCTTGGCTGACGTGTGGGAGAAGACTAGTTCTTTGGGCTTATATTCTGTCACTATCGGATGACGTGATATAACGGGAGTTTGGTCGGCAGGGTTTGCAGAAAAGGAACATGTCGCTGAGCTTGGCTTAAGGGGAGAAAGTTTCCCATTTATTCATTCACTTTGCTGTTTCTGTGGATGATTGAGACAACGTAGTAATGTTAGGAGGGGAGCAAAGCACAGCAAACTTGACATATTAGCTATCCTCAAAGAAGGCTTTTCTCTGAGCAGCCGCCTATGCCGGTCAAGATTGATTGCTGTTGTGCGACCTGGGATATGTATTTTGTAATCCCGAATTATTCCGGGATGTGGTTTCACCTAGTGTGGCTGAAAGGCCAAAGGAATAAGAATAAGTGTCTACAGATAAGAAAAAAATAACGATTCCTGGGTAGTAGTTAATGAATCACATCAAACAATAGGGAAACGTAGAAAAATGGCTACAGTGAACCCAAGTCCTACGTCTGGTCTCTTACAGACTTCTCTGTTTGACAAGAGGCAAGTCAGGTCCAAATCTTAAGAAATACGCTACAATGCCCAGATATATTCAAGTATCTGGACCTTACGCTGTGCACCTGAGATGGATGTTGTAACCGTCTGCTTCGGCGTGACCAGCGTGAATCTGTTACGAGCTAGACAAAGACTGGAATAGGAGGCATAGCAGCACATCCATCCTCTTCCCATATTTCTTTGTGCCTGCAATTTGAGTGATACACATTATATTTCTTCTTGTTGCTGCTGTTGCTGCATTTTGCCGTGTTGTATTCTTGCAGCAGCTTTTGTCTTTTGGCTTTCTGTAAGCCTGTTCTTTGGGCCGCAAGTCAGGTGAATAGGTAGGCATCCCCGCAGGAATTATAGGCATATTGGTACTTATAGTCACCACTGTGAGGTGGTCGTTAAACAATTTTTTTGTCAGTGCAAAGTCTCATCCTGATGGTTGCCACAGAATTTCCCGAAGGAAGACGTTTTCTCTTTTGTCAGTAAGCCACTGTCATGCTTTGTCACTTGACCTCCATTCTACAGGTTTCTAGCTAGCAGCACTGGTAGCTCCATCAAAGAAAATTGGCAAGAGCTTTTTCACTCCCTGCCTAATTCAATATTGCATGTTTTGTAAAAATTGACATTCTCTATTTGTTGGAGAGTGTTGCAATACACCAACATGTTTCTTCTCGGGGCCAATTTTTCCTCACTGTGCCTCAGGGTAGAGATATTTGATTCTGCATTAAGGAATAAGCAAATCTAATGAGATTTTATTCATGGTGAAGTGCATTAATTATGTAGGGCAGGCGGTGTTCACCTGACTGGGTCAGGTGTGTGTTGGGACCCAGGTTGAATATTTCTCTAAAGAACATACGTCTCTAAATTTAGAGTTTGCCCTACAGAAACTGTAGTGGAGAGGGGTTGTATCCCATAGCCTGGGTCTTTTGCAGTGGGTTGTTACTGGATGCCATTCTGCAACAGGAAGGAAAATCAGGCTGATCTCCAGGTTTGCTACTTTACTGGCATTAATTTACTTTTTGCCCCAACAGTGCAGCCAGGAGGAAGGGCTACAACGTGCAGAGACTGACTGGGCCTGCAAAAGAGTAAAGTTAGTATTAGTGCAGGGGGTCTTAAAAGGGAGAAGGTATATTTACAGGTCTCATTGGCAGCTGGATTCATGCACGTGTTTTCTGTGCCTTTGGTTGTGTTGTGCACTGCAGCACGGCACGCAGTGGACCAGCTCTGGATGTGTCCGGTGCTCCTGTGCCCATGGGAAGGTGAACTGCACCCCCACAGCCTGCCCACCCCTCACTTGTGGACGAGGGGAGCTGCAATACACTGCTCAGGGATCCTGCTGTCCCAAATGTGTGGGCCGTGGCGGTGAGTATGGCATGTGAATGGGGCACTGTCTGGCTTCATTGATCTGAGCAGTAGGTCACTGGAAATCTCCTTTTAGTCCCAAATCTGGAAAGCTTTTCTTTTCTTGTTCAGTTCTGTTGGGAAGACAGTGGCATCAAGTGTGTCCCTTAATTCTCTTTCTGTCCTGCTACCATATTTACATTTTTAACAGCTCTACCCATAGCCAAAGAGGAAGCGATGAGCTTTAAGCAGTGAGCAGATGTGCCTAATATGTCCTTATTTTGGAGATGAAAATCTGGAAAAAAAGGTGCAGATGTTTCCTATGTACTGAGGGTACCTTTGGCACTTGCAAACTCGGACTGCAGGTTCCAAAAATGCCTGAGCTATCGGATACCTTTTCTCATAGAAGTCCAGTGGGAGAAGTGCATCCAGAGCTCTTCATTCACAAGTCTAAAGCCCTTGAAAACCGGTGGAATTGTTACTGCTTTGACAAACTGTAATTCTGAATTCTGAGGTGCACAAAATCTGTGTTTTAATGATGGGTGACGGAAAGGGATTAAAGGGCATTGGAAAAGAAAATCACCCATCGTTTTCATATCTCTTAGGGCCTTGCTCCTTTGATGGACGCTTGTTCCAGGATGGTGAGGACTGGCGCCTTGGTCGGTGCTCCAAATGTGTCTGCAGGGACGGCGTGACTCAGTGCTTCACAACTTCCTGCCAGCCTCTGCTCTGCAGCCAGGTCAGCACCCATCAGCCTTCTGGGAACATCACTCATGACTGTTGTCTCTCCCTTGGTGAGGTCCCTTTCTCATGCAGATGTGCAAATTAGCAGGAGAATCCTCTGTGTGACAAGTGGGCGATTTGGAAAAGGGAGTTTTGTTCTCATAGAAGTCCAGTGGGAGAAGTGCATCCAGAGCTCTTCATTCACAAGTCTAAAGCCCTTGAAAACCGGTGGAATTGTTACTGCTTTGACAAACTGTAATTCTGAATTCTGAGGTGCACAAAATCTGTGTTTTAATGATGGGTGACGGAAAGGGATTAAAGGGCATTGGGAAAGAAAATCACCCATCGTTTTCATATCTCTTAGGGCCTTGCTCCTTTGATGGACGCTTGTTCCAGGATGGTGAGGACTGGCGCCTTGGTCGGTGCTCCAAATGTGTCTGCAGGGACGGCGTGACTCAGTGCTTCACAGCTTCCTGCCAGCCTCTGCTCTGCAGCCAGGCCAGCACCCATCAGCCTTCTGGGGACATCACTCATGACTGTTGTCTCTCCCTTGGTGAGGTCCCTTTCTCATGCAGATGTGCAAATTAGCAGGAGAATCCTCTGTGTGACAAGTGGGCGATTTGGAAAAGGGAGTTTTGGTGTGTGGAAATGACGTGGAGTTTTGATGTGTGGAAATGACGTGGAGTGATGGTTAAGTCAGTCAGTATACTCGTGCTGCCTGTCTCTTCCCTAACACTGTCTTTCCCCACCGTCTTCCTGTTATCATGCCTTTGCTGGCTAATTAAGCGCAAGTACTGTCCTAGAGAAACTGCTTTTTGTTTTATACTAAAAAAATTATGTAGGGTTGATCAGGAAATTTTTTTATTTCTGTGAGGGAAGGAATGAAAACACAAGATTTTTAATGGGCGTTTATCTTCACAAATTGCAGTGTTTGGTTTGCAGCTGAGCAGTTTGGTTTGCAGGTCTTGTTTGCTTTTTTTTTTTTTTTGGCAAGAACTCTAGAAATACAGTTGAAAGTAGTCAAATGCAGATGAAATTCCCTTTTTGACTTAAAGAGTTTAGAAATACAAGACCGCTTCAGCTGAAAGAGAACTCTCAGAGCCCTATTCCTTGCGTGTGCTTGTGTTTAGAAATCAACCAAACCAGTAAGGGAAGTTAGGCAAGCTCAAGGAGTGACTTGCAATTTCAGGCCAGTTGAGAGAACTGGGACGTTTCTGTCTCCAAGGTCTTCACTGTGGATGAATGATGAGTTCTCAGCACGTGTGCAGTGACCACCAAAACACTACAAGATTATATACAGTAACACAGGGATTAGGAAAGGTGGCAGACTATACACACTACTCCACGCTCTGTACAAGTGACTCAGTTTTTGGAATTCTCTTTATTATATTGGAAATGCTTAAAGGTGTGACTCTGCTCTTTGGATTTCTTTTTCTTTTTTTTTACCACTTTTCTTGGGCACCTTGATGTATTCCTTTACAATAGCATGCCATGCTAAGGAAATGCAGGAACTGGCTCCCTGGAAATCCCTCTTTCTGACCTTGACTTTATGTTTTAGGAGCTGCTGCTTCCCAAATATTTTTTAATCTATTACCACTCTCCAACAATGAATCCAGAAGCTCCCTCGAAAAGCATGCTCTGGCTGAGTACGCTTCCTTGTAGCACTGAGAAAAACAAAAGCAGTAGTCATAAACTTTTTTTCCTGTTGATGCTTACCCAGCTTTCTATTACTGGACCAGATGTTTGTGCAATTAACACCTTCTTCTTTTTTTAATAGAAGGAAAGCCCACCTGTTTCTGTGCATGCTAATTCTGTTTTGCTTTGTCCTCAGATACACAATTAGTATTCATTGACTAAGTACTGTGCATTAAACCAAATTTATGCCTGCTTTAGATTCCTCCTTTCCCACTCCAAATGGACTGACGTTACCCGCTGACTGATTGCACTAATGTTTAGTCAGCTAATCATTAGGATTTAATTTGTGGAAACAGAAATGACTGTGTTGTTGCTGTGATGTATCTGAGAATAATTGGCTGACAGCATCCAAATTAATGCAGCAGGAAACTAATTCTGACTGTGTTCCAGCTATTTCCTACCAAAGGTGCTCGCTGGAAGGGACCTTGGCAGGATGTGCAAGGATTCTGTTCTGCTCTCAATCATACCTAACATTTTCTTGCATGTGCCTTTATCTCTGTCACTTTCTTCATTCTCCACTACCTGTCAAAAGCAAATACATAAATTCTCCCAGTATTAAACTCTCATCTTCCATCTTTCAGTTAACTGTGCCCTTCCCTGGGCGCTGAGGGAGAGGAACTTCAAAAATGCTTGCAGGAGTGCACCTGAATGTCTCACCTCATATCCTACCAAAATCCGTGGAAGAGTTCTTTTAACTCTGCTGGGAAATCTATCGTTGATAACTTTTACGCAAAAGTCTTCCACTCTTTCTTTGAAAGCTAGTGATTTGACTAACAAAGCAGATGAGATAATGGTGCTTGGCATTTCTACACTGCTTTCAGTCCACAAGTCAGTCTTCCAGTCATCCTGGTGTGGCTGGAGGGAGGTGCTGGTGAACAATACGATTCCAGATTGTTGGGTGTACGTGAAATTGTGGCAGGAGCATTACAGACACATTTTGGATGGGTGGAGTTGAGCCATGCAGGAACCGTTATGTTGGTGTGAAGTGCCAACCTATTTCAGTGTGATTTAAATCAGTCAGGAAAAAGTTTAAATTAGGATAAGCCAGTTTTAAGCATAATTTAACACCTGTATAGACAGTTATGCTGTATGGATTTAACTAAAACAGTGCAAATGCCTAAGAGATGGCAAGTGTAAATCACACATTCAAAGCCTCAAAATGTGGCAGTACCAGGAAAAAAATCTCTTCTCTCCTCCATCTCATGCTTTAGTGTGTTTCTCTACGTAGCTTTATATATACTTTTTTTTCCTCTGTCTATTTGTATACCTGAATATATGTACTTTATCGTGCATGTGTGCGTGTGCATGCATGTGTCTCCTGATCTTCATCTGTATACCTATCTATGTATTTGGACCTCAATTGCCATCCAAAGAAGCCCAGAAAAAGGAGATGAAGGAAATATCTTTCTAGCTTTCTCCACTGATCTCATGCTGTGAAGACTGCCCCCAGATACTGGAGTGAAAATGAAGCCTTGAGCGACTGTGGGTTATCGAACAGATGCTAAGTGCCTGGAATTCCAGGCGGTGATACTGAGCTCTGTGTTAACTGTTCATGCTCTTATTTGACTTGTCTCTCCCGCTTTCTATTTAGGATGAAGTTATGGTTATGTCTCCTGGAAAATGCTGCCCAGAATGCGTTCCAAAGCCCTGCTTGGTGTCAGGAAGAGTGTACCAGGTAACCTTTGAAGAGCCACACCAAAAGGCGCTTGTTCACAAGTTCTGGCACATCTCTCTTTCCCTTCTCTGTGACATCTGACTTTCTGCCAGCGCTGATAGCTTAGTACAACCATTGCTTTTTTCTTCCTGGATAGCCAAAAGAGTTGAAAGAAATTAGCTCTAGATAAGAATTTGCTGGCAAGCAGAAAGGAAGTTTGCAGCGTGAAGCAAATCAGGCACTTTCTTTTCACACTTTTTTGAAGGAGGAAAGCAGAAAGCACTGGTGAAGGTCAAAGTATTTATAGCTTTCATTATATCATCTGGAATTAGTTTAATGCATTATTTAATGAATGTAAGTATGTGGGATTTTCTGTTAATGATTATGTTTTTCTAATAATAGTAAAGGCCTCACCAATGTCAGTGGCTTGCAATTAATGAGAAATACACACCACGGTGTCATCTAGATCTCATACCTCTTCTTTCTGTTTGCTGATCATGCAAGATAATTTTTTAAGAAAAGTTTATTAAGGAGACATCATATTCCATAAGTAGCACAGATTTCTGGAAAGAATCTGGTTATTTGTGAAGAGTGTTTAACAATTGTGTACGTGTTCTTTTTGAACAGCATGGCGAACAGTGGAAAAAAACCACCTGCACTGCATGTGCATGTCACAGAGGAGAAGTCAGATGTCTAAGAGAGACCTGTGACTCTGTTACCTGTGAGAAGGTAGTTAAAAATCATTCACCTCTGATACCCTGGCTGCACGTATCACTGTGCCCGTGCCAACGGGTTCAGACAGTCCTGCGCAATGGTCGCTGATGTTTTGTAGGGGGAGAGCAAAGTGCAGCGTCCCGGGAAGTGCTGTGAGGAGTGTGTGTCTTCCAAGGGAAGCTGCTTGTATGACGGCACCGTCAGGTACCACAGTGAGATGTGGAATAGCACCCGCTGTGACTTCTGCATGTGTGATGAAGGGCAAGTCACTTGCCAGGAAGCAGAGTGTGCCAGAGTAGAGTGTCCCAAGGTAAGAAAGGTTTTCTTCTTTCAAGACATATCTGTCAAGCCTTGTGATTTTTTTCCCCCCCTTTTTTCTTTTTTCTCGACTGACATCTCGAGACACTCAAAGAACCTGCCCTTCTCTTGGGACTTGTTTTGTGCAACTACCTTGAGAACACTTCACAGTGAAAGGAGAGTAAACTTCGGATTTTCCATGCAAGGCTGGCTGCTCAGTGGGCTTGCATTGTGAAGCAAGCCAGTGTGAATCAGACAGTAGTTTAACTTGGATTCCCTCCCACGCTGTTGTCTGCCTGCTGTAATGGAAGGTCAGACACCCAGAGGTTTCATTCACCGCTGGCTTTACCAGGAGCTTAATGTGGGGAGAGAGGTACAGGTCAGAGATAGTTAAAAGCTTAAGAAATGTTCCTTTTATCTTCATTCCGTATGCTACAGGGGGCTTCAGTAAGGTAGTTGGATATGGAAGTCTGCGCTCTACTTTTCTCCATTTTTTCCATGCCATTCTTGGCATGGAAGTGAAGCCAGTAAGGTGTTTTATTCCCAGTGCTGTTTATTCCAAAACTAAATCCCTGCCCGCCAGGTTATGCTACATTTGCTTTATAGTGGATGTGCAAAATGCATTAGATGGGGTATGTTTTGAATTGCCTTTTTGCAGTAGGGTAAGACTTCTGTGTTGTTTGTCACTGCATCTGTTTTAATTGGTGGGCTAATATCTGCTTTATACTTGCTACTCCACAGTGTCAGTGAAGGGAAGGGAAGAAATGGTAGCCTTCTGAGTTTTCTCTCTCAGTGGCAATGCTTTTCTGGTGACTGCCTGCATGCTAAATCTTGAGTAGCAGCACCCTTGTGTTGTGTCTGAAGTCCAGCCAAAAGCTGGACATAATGGATTCACTGGATTAGATTGTTTTAACGACCGTTCAAAAAAGTGAGAATCCACACATGGAGTCCGAAATGATGATCATGCAGAGAGGATGTATCTAGGAATAAAAGCATATACTTGTTCATCTGAGATTGTGCCTTTTAAATAGCAAAAATGCATTGAGTGTGCGACCCAAACTCTTGTCACTGGTGTAGTACTGCTGACGATCATCTGACCTTAAACTGCATGGAGAGATTTTGCTGTGTGGAGAGTCGTGGTTGTCATAAAATCTTGGGCACTTGCATCTGTTTCAGTCAGCTTCCTGCCTGCTTATGGCTGTAAATTGGATCATTTACACTAATGATGATGGCACGCTGTCATGGCTCAGTAGGGAGAATTGTTTAATATTCATGCTCATATCTTGGGTACTGACAAAGAATCCATTATTCAGAAAAGCCAGGGCTATTTTACAGAACAATAGCTGAAGATGGTAACACGTAGGGTTCAAAACTGGGGGTTCAAAAGTGTGCAGCATTATCACTCACACAGCAATTTTTCAAACTCAGGCTCTCAGAGGTATCCACCCATCCAAAAGCCCAAGCATCTAAAAAAGGGATATTATTTGTCAGAGGATGAACTGCTGCAATTTTGCATTGAATGAAACGTGGTTGCCAGGAGGACAGAAGGAGGAAGACAGTGTCCTTTGCTGTAGACAAGAGTTACGGTCCCACTTGATAAAAGATATTTGCCCAAGGATTTATTATTCTGCATGGCTTCCCTTAGGATAAACTAGTTTCCTCAAGTCATGTTCAGTCATAGTTTATCTCCATAGTACAAGGTGCACATTAATTAATTACAAAAAAATATTTTCTCAAAAAGCAAATGTAATATTTCCTTTTTCCTTTGCTTTTTCCTTTTTGAGTTGCAGGTCTGTTTTTTAGGCACCTACATCAATAAATCAGAGCTGATGTGAAGCTAGGAGCATTTGGATTCATCTCTTCATTAAGGCACTATTACTTTTCTGGTCACATCATCCTATTTAAAGTGTAATGAGGCCACAGATATGAACTGCAAATCCTAGACAGCTCGACATAGTATAGCAGCATTACATGAGGGTAGGGTGGAGGTTTAGCTTACAAACCCTTTCAAACAAACCTGGCCAGCAACTGCCAAATGAAAGTGTCTGTGGTGACTCTGACCTAATCTTCAAAACGCCATTTTCAGCAGGTTACCGATGAGCTAGGAATACAAGTTACGTAGCAGACTGGGTTAGCTATGGATGGTGAAGTGGATGTGCTCAACCAAAACCACTCAAACTGTCAGAGCATCAAATAATCCTGCTGGAGCTCTTGCCAGCACCCCAGCTAAGTAAGCACGCTCGTGACGATGTTCAGAGGAGTCATGGGTGCTAGCGGAGGATGCTGCAGCCTACCCCAGTAGGCTGGTGATGAAATATTTCTGCTAGCAGCCCTAGAAAACTACAGGATCAGTAAGACAGAGCTTGCAGGGTGCTGCATGACTACTGTACAGCCAGCAAGCTGCAGAAGTCTTTCTGATATTTAGAAGAAATGGAGAGAGTTACGGACAATGCATGTGGATGTAGGTGTGTACATGTTTGAGAGAGATTGTATTTCTCTTTTCTGCCTCCCAGCCCATCACTACCTTTCAGTGTTCTCAACCAGGAATATGATGAATCTCTCTTCAGCAAAGCCACAAGTTATCTCACATCGCCTCTCCCTTTTCTGAGTCCTGGCAGAGCGGCGCGGTTGCATTTTTTTTTGGCTTGGGCAAGCCATGTTCCATGTTCTCAGTTTTCCTACAGTGTGTGTTTATGTACATGGGTGGGGACGTGGGCAGGGGTGGGGATGGGAGAGTTTACAGTACATAGTAGTGACATGAGATCCAACCACTGCCAGTGGCATTTTGAAGTAATGATTTAAGAGCAAAACCATACAGAACCGGCAGAGAGAGATTTAGGCTGCGTGTGGTCCTCGATGACTAAGAACCATATGGTTTCTCCTCTCTTACCCGTCCTCAGAAACGCGTGAGGGCTGGCTTAGTTGTTCTACTTTGGTGAAACTAACAGTGACCGGTGCTGTTACTGCCCAATCTACGTCTAAAGTAATTCACATACTCAAATTGGAGAGCGTGCCAATGTGGCACAGTGAAAAACATCCTGGAGTGACTGCTGGTACCGATGCCCGGCTGGTGTAAATCAGCAAAGCTATTTGGTAAACTTGGCGCTCAGCTGAATTTTGGGAGCTATCAGCAGAAAGCAGCAACATGCTGAAATAGAAACCAGTGTGAGCCGTGTGATTTCGTTGGGTATGGGAGCCCCTCGCAAATATTTAACGAACGGTCATGACTTCTGTGTTTGTCGCAGGTAAGTAATCGGCCTGACTGGAAAGTTGGGAAGATGATGCACGCCTACTGAGATTTGGAATGGGTGTTAACACTGACATTTAATGGGCATAGATTAAACGAGTGCTCAGTGCAGATCGGCACCAAATCTTAGTCACTTATTTGTAACTTTTTAATTCTAGTGGTTTTGTATACATGTGTCCTTTTTCTGACAAGTCTGTATTACCTTGCCTATGTTTACAGTGTGTGAGAATCTGGTCCAGAAGAGCTACTCAGGTCAGGAAATTAAAGCTGTTTCTTTTGAGCTGTGTCCTGGTTCCCTAGGACAAGAGCCTCCCTCTTTTTCTAAATATTCAGCTTCCACTTGGGCAGAGAAAGCTGTGACAAATTAGGGCACTTTGTTCCCTTCTCCTGCCGCTAAATTCTTATCTTCAAACCGGAGTTATTTAAGTGGATTCTGTGGAGTTGCACAGTTGTAACAAAGAACAGGGTTTTTCCATCTGGGATAAATAAAGCATGCGCTTTGAAATTCTCTTGGGGAAAAAGTCGAACATTCAAAATGAAGGTAAGCTTCTATGCATTGAAATCTTGACAGCGGTCATATATTGGGGGGGTTCTTTCTCTGTGAGATTTGGGGATGAAATTATGGCCTTATCGCTGAATTCCCCAGCCTTTTCTGAGGTTTGTCCTGCAACTGCAGTATTCACTAAGCACATTTTTCAAACTGTACCTACAGAGATGAAGTAGGATAGAGAGAAGATAAGGTGAAATTAGATACTGAAGATTGCATTCCAGGGCAAGAGCTGTTCTGCCTCTGCATTCCACTGTATTTTTGGTGGTGTTGATTCCGTTTGAATTGCTGCAACCTTTCTCTTCACAGGGTGAAGAATTAATTCACTTAGATGGGAAGTGCTGTCCTGAATGTATTTCAAGGAACAGTTACTGTGTTTACAAAGAACATATCAAAGCTGTGAGTATCCTGGTACTTTGGAGCACGTAGTTGTGAGTTCTGCTCACAAAGGTTTGGAGTAATTGGCTCTCCCTCTCCAGTTCCAAGAAGGATATTATTTGCAAGTGTAGCAGAAAAATAATCCATTAATATTGTCTGTGAATTGCTCTTCCAGTTTACAGAATGCACTTGTTTATAACGTGCGCATCTGCTGGCAAGTCTAAGTTTGCTTTGCTTTCCTTTGTGCAGTGTAATCACTCGTTTCCCTTTAACATACGTACTCACAGGTTTCCTGCACGTCTCATGGAGTTAGAGATGCCTGACTTTAATCCTATAAAGTAGAGGCGACCTAGCTGGGGCAATGTGTAGCTTTCTGCCTATGTTCCCTACTGATTATAATTTTTACTGCAACAGGAGTCCGTTATTTTATGTATATTTTCAAGGAACTTTCCTTCTGAAGTTAAACAGAAAGGAAAAGTTAAGTATCTTGGTTTAAATATACCAGTTGTGGACTATTCATTGCTCTGGCAGATGAGGACTGGAGCTAATCGCTGCTGTTTGCCCACAGATGTGAGAAATGGGAAGTTTAATGCTGTTTTGGTTTGGTTTTAATGCTGATACTTCCCTTTCCTTTCTCAGATCTCTCTCCCTCTGACCCAAGTGAGGTAAAACATATTAAGGTGTCAGGTTTATTCCAGTTTGCGCTTTATCTCTTTTAAGAGAGGAACTGGCACAGAAGCTTCCCAGGCATTTAAAATGCTTGCTCTCTCTTCTCTGCCTTTTGACTTCCTCGCGTGGTGCCAGCAGAGGCTCAGCCGCGGAGGACAGCTTCGGTGGCCTCTTGAGCAGACCAAGGGATGCAGATCGCAGGAGGGGAACAGTGGGTGCAAGATCTCTCCCCTCCATCGACTAGTCAAGGTAGAGAGGTGTCAGCTGCGATGGGTAGTTTTGAAGCAAGCTGGTGATACCTCTTCATCTCTGTGGTGTTTCGGCCGGCCTTTGGTGATGGAAAACGAGGCGACAGAAGAGAGGAGGAGAGGAAGTAAAATGTTGTAAAGGTTAGAAAGAGATTTCAAGTGTGGCAAAAATGTCATTATGCAAAGACGTAGATTCAGACAGAGGACGCGTTACGAGTATCTGTTCAAATACAGAGCAAATTCAAGCACTTGTTACCGGGCTGTTGAAAAGAAGTGGACAAGTGACGCAGCAAAATCTGGAGACAGGAGAAAATGCTGTGAGTCAGAGAAAACGAAGGGAGGTGAAGAAGTAGAAAGGACTTACTGCTAATGGAACAACACCCTCCTTTGGAGGGAATGCTGAAAGGGAATGTGTTCAGGTGTTCACGGGCCACGGACTCTTCCCAGCAGGCACTTTGCAGGCTGCCTTATTCTGGAAAGGCAAAGAGTTACAGAGGCACAGAGTCCCATGTGGGCAGGTCTCAGTGCTGAAACAGTCCCAGAAATGTTTAATTTACTACTGGCGCTGATGCAGCCTTGCAATTTACCCAGAGATTTCCGTGCAAGGCAAAACCACTTTGTGCCAAGGCTCACCTTCACTACTGACGCTGGCCGTTTGGTGTTTCCTGTGCAGAACGGAGAGAAATGGGAAGAAGGGCTCTGCGGAGAATGCGAATGCCGGGAGGCGGAGGTGACCTGCTTCCAGCGCTCTTGCCCGTCCTGCCCGCCGGGCAGCCTGGCTGTCGAGGCGAAGGGTGACTGCTGCCCGCACTGCGAGCCAGGTACAGACCCAGGGCGATGGTTTCTCACCATCACTCGTGTTGGGTGGGAGCGTGTGTGTCGCATACACCTCTGGCACGGGGGTTGTTGTGGCATCCCTGCAGCCCTCGCTGCCTCAGTACCGGTCTGATACCTGCGCTGAATTCTAACGTGTCTTCGGTTTGCAGTTTCAGTTAATTAACTGGTTTCCATATAATTTAATTAGGGTTCTTGGCAAGGTTTAGGGCTCCATCCAAAGCCTCCCACTGATTTCCCCTGGATTAAATGATAGCTTTCTTTTGGCAGAAGAGTTTCTGCTTGGGGTTGGTGTTTTGGAAATGTTTCGTCTTTTTTCTTTTTTCTTCAACATGAGTTTTATAAGGCAAGGGACTGCTCCTTTCTGAATCCTAACATGTGTTTTTAGAGTTTATGGGCTCCTGATTATTTCTTGGGAGTGGAAAGAAGAATGTACCTGCTTACACTGTTATGCCACAAGCTCACCTGGGGCTGAATGGCTGCCAGTTAATAATTGTTTGGAAAGATTAGGACAGCCTTAGCTTATATGTTAATTTTGCATATTAATTCATTTTTCTCCAGGCTATTGTCATTCTCCGTGATTTACATTTCATAGTTGGTAGGCTTTAGCTGTGGTTTGCTAATTTTTCATGTTGGTAGGTCTTCTCGTTGCCTTCATATAACTTTGGTTTTATCAGAGTGCTCCAGTTAATGTTTTATCTCAGTAAAAAGAAAATAGCTTCACAGTTTTAATTATACTGTCATTTGCAGGAGTGCCTTGGCACATTTGCCATATTAATGTTTTAAAGCTTGTTATTTACTGCATGCTAATAAAAATGCAAAGCACTACAAATTGAAAAGTGAGGAAAACGGGTTTTGGACAGTTCAGATAGAATTGTCTTGGATTTTTGAAAGGGAACAGCATCTGCACAGGCTCCTGGGGAAGGGACAGATTATTAGGTGCTCTCAGCACCCATCTGTTCTCCTTCCTATCGAGAAGTGCTGCTGTGTGCTGGTTACCCTTGAAAATCTGGCCCCTTCATTTAGCTTCTGTACTGGAACGTACATTTTGGAACGTAAAAGCTTTAAAATCACGGTATTGGACATACAGAGCCAAACCTGCATTTTTGTGTCCTAAAAGGTGAATGCAAATTTCATTTACTGAAGCCTCCTGTTTTCCCTCTGTCTTCTTCCGTGTTGCATTGGGCGGAATGAGAAACAAATGCAAAATCCAGCCTGCGGCAGTTCAATCTGTGAGCCCAGAGCATCAGTCCCTAACGCATCTGCTTCGTTATAGCCAGTAAAAATTTATTACTGCTTCTCACAGATGTGCTGGGGGAAGCAGGCAGAGAGAACCCATTCATTCTCAGCCAGTGTAAAGCATCTAGCCCTAAGCATAGCTGTATTTGTGTGAAAGCCAGCAAACATGCCCTCTCACTGAGAACATTCGGATTGGAGCAGAGGGAATTTTTTTGCACCTAGCAAAAAATTGCCCATTCTGTACCTCTCCACATAGTCAGTTTGTTGTTAAGACTGGAAGGATGGAGCTGCATATACCTTTGGAAAGTTATTGGAAAGAAATGGATAGAGACAGGACCTCCTGTTCATTCCTCCTGTTTATCACTGTGGATTCATTTTTATCTTCAACTGTAAGTCTTCCGTAGCTCTTGATTCCTAAATCTTTCCTTAGGTACATCTCCCTGGAAACTTGCAGGTTATTTAGTGTAAATGAAGGAGAGTTTTGAGCATTGGGATCCCTTTTGCTGACTTATCAGGAAGGAACAGACAGCTTTTCCTTCAGCAAGCAGAAGTAGCTCAGTAGTAAAGCAAGAGTAGTCCTTCTCTTGGCCTCTGCGGAGAGAGCAGCCATGCCTTTTGAGAAAATACCTGTGATCAGGAAATGATCGCTATGGTCCTGTGACATAAAGCTTTTGACTGGAGGGGGAGCGGTTTCCCACCTGTACTCTGACCTGGCATGGACACAGCCTTGACTTATTGCAGGGTTTGACTGAAGGAAACTCAAATTCAGCGTGTTTTGGACCATTAATTTCTATGACTTATGGTTTTTACTGCTGAGAAACCATGCGGACAATGAATATCCTTTTTATCAATAGTCTAGAAAATCTGACTCTGTGCAATAACTCCTCACATACTGGAACACAGCAATATAGTATTTATTGCCTTTCATGCATCTTGGAAAAAAAAAACCCCACTCCCAAACTAACACATCTTGAACCACCAACAGAAATAAGTCATAAATTTCACTTGGATTTTGGAGTACGTGTTGTTTTGTGCCTTCCTGATTGAAAACACTGCTGATGGTTTTTACCTTTGTGTCGTTTCTTGGTGCCAGTTGAGTGCCACCCAGACTGTTTGACCTGCTCTCAGTCCTTTGATCACTGCAGTGCCTGCCGAGACGCAAGGAGGTGGCTGCAGAATGGGCGCTGTGTGGAGACGTGTGAATCGGGCTTCTACCAGGATGGGGGGACCTGCTTAGGTAATTTCTGCAAGGGGTTATTCCCCGCCAGATGACCGTCTTCTCTGTGGCTTGCTGTGCTTTTGTTTGTAGGATCCCACAGGCTTATTATAAAGACATTGCCAGGCTTTGTTTGGAAAAGCATTCAGGCACGTACTGACAAGTAACCACGGGCTTAAGACTTCAGGAGGTTTCAGGTGGAAGCCCCTGAAAAATGCAAATTCTCAAACTCTTTTGCCAAAATGAGGCAAAATTGACTCCTTTTATCAGAGCAGGGAAGTCTTGCTGCATCAAAACATTTGGGATTAATACATCTTTCATTTCTATTCTTTCTCTTGGAAGCCTGCAATGAAACATGCTCAGCCTGTACCAATGAATTTGAGTGCTCCTCGTGCCAGACATCCCTGCTAATGAAGAGCGGGCAGTGTGTGACTTCGTGTGGGAAGGGATACTTCCAGGATCAGCTCCTCTGCACAGGTAACTCAAAAGCAAGAAAGGGCTGCAATACTTTGTGATAGCAAAACAGCAGACAAAAGCTGTACCCGAGCAATTATGTACGCTCTCTGTTGAGGGATCTGCTGTTGACATAGGTGTTAATGTTCACCCTAGAGTAAAGGAAGGAGCGAACAGAGGAACTAAGTCATACAGTGTAAAATTGATTACTGGCTGGGGAAATATTCATTAAAATTCCTCAGTGGATCAGTTCTGCTGGTCTAAAACTCTCTGCTTTTGAACGCTGCGTTTTTTCACCACTGTCCTCTTTCAATTCAGAACTTTCTTTTGGAAATGTGACAGTGGTTTTTTGCGGTGCTAAGGGTACAGAACAAGATGTAGGCACTAATTTTACGAAGGATATAACACCCTGAGCCATGCCTGGCAATCTGATCCGTGGGGGATTTCTTTGAGTTCAGTGCACACTAACGGCAGCTGCTAATGCCAGACCTTTCAGGAGATGGTGCTTTGAGGGGCATAGGAAATGGCCTGGAGGGATGGGGGATTGACAGAACTCAGAAAAGCGAACAGAAAATACTTTTTGGAGAATTTTGTTTGCTTTGTTTTGCCGTTTGTTTCATTTGGTGCACTTATCCTGAAGGTTGATTGTACTAACTTCTCAGGAAGCATATTTACAAAGTAAATCAGTAATTCTATAAAACACTGAGATATGCGTCTAAATCCTGTGTGTTAGTGATTGGAAAGACTGAGAATAAGATTGTGAAGTTACAGTTTTCTCTCTGATAGAAGTATGATGGTGCTTTTATGAGCTTCCCCTGCTCCTTTGAAATATTTGTACTTTTCCCAAACTGTAAGGCAGCTGCTTTTTCATCGTGACAGTTTGTTTTCTCTAGAATTAACACTTTTCTCCTCTTGATGTTGGCCTTTGTAGAAGGCTTCTAATTACTTTTGCAGCTCTAATTCAGCAAAGGGTTGAGCAAAGCTTAACTTCTTGAGCCATCACTTTAATTTCTTTGGAACTAGCCCTCCTGCTTAAATACAGGCTTAGGGCTTTTGGCAGATTTCGGGGGAAAGCACTTTAGATTCTAAGTCCAGCTTCCTTCTCTGAAGTGGTTTGCCTTGAAGAGCTGACCATTTATTTCAGGTTTTGAAAGTCTGAAAAACCTCTGTCCTCCAGCAGTGCCTACAGACTAGGGCCCCATTGTGCCTGTATAAACAGAAAAAGAGACCCAGTCCAAGAGAATTTATAGACTTAAGTATCAAATAATCTTCTACTTCATTTGGTTTTATTTTACCATTTCCTTTCCACCTGCTCCTAGTGTTTTAATTGGCAGTGCCCATGTACTGCTGAAGCAG